CTTCTTCAGTCTGAAGAGTTTCAGGTGAACTCAGCCTTATAAGCACTGCCTCCACATGGACAAACAGGTTAGTCATATGCAAAAGAGGGCCATCAGTCAAGCAATAGATTGTTAGTGCCTTGATTGGCTCTATTTTTTCATAGAGGGTCATGTGTCCCATCACCAGATTATCGTTGGGGCCCTGATTCACACGTTTTGCTCACGGGGGCGGAGTCATACTTGCAATAACAGAATTGTAGGAGGAGGACAACTGGACACGAAGGCCTCCACCTCTGTTTAATGGTGGACGTTTTTTCTTCACAAAGATGGCTTCCTTTACTCCTCTCTCAAACCAACATTCCTCTCTATCAAAGATGAGAACATCTTCATCCCTGAAAGAGTGACCGCTGGCCTCTAGAGGAGTGTATAGTTCATTTAATTCTAATAATTACTCCAAACTTAAAACATAAAAACCACTATATTTCCATTTCTTGTTATGGTGCAGTCCCAGAACCAACAAYTTGTGTATAAACCCACACCTGCTGGGCAGAGGCAAGTATTTGCAAAGCTACAAATTATAATAGTTAAGTCCCTTAAACTGTTGGCTTTGATGTTATTTAGTTCAAACAAGCATCTGTTGAAAAATTGTGAAGGTAAAGTTACCCAAAGTTTCACAAAAGGAGACACACCCAGGCCTACAGTCAGAGTTCAAATAACGAAAATAAACCAATTTAAAACCCAACGTCTGTGTAAGTTAATAAACTCATCTATTCAATTATGTTTTTATTTTAACAGTGGTTCATGGTTACAATGAAAAGAACGACACTAATCCTCAAGAAAAATATACAAGGAGGTATAAGTGTTATTCTAAATCTTGCTGATTGATGATAAACTCTTGGTGAGATCTGCAACGGTGTCAATAAAATATTTAACTCAAAATGTAAAATGACTACAGAGTTTATACTAACATACTGAAAATAAAATAAATAAATCCCTCAATAGTTTTTGCARCTGCTATTAAAGGTTGTAATTTCAAAACGAATAGATAGTAAAGCTCCCCGCAGCCACAGGATAATCAGTGAATTTACTGGTTTTGATGAAATTGTGGTTAGGCGTTTATTGAGACGCACTCGAGCTTCGGCCGTCTCTGATCAATAAATCAGCCTTGTTGTGGATCTGCATGGGGTTACAGAGTCGTCAGCACCTCCCCTGTCCATCTCCAACATAATGACTCTGATTTCACGTAGCTCATGTTAGCCATTACTGATAAATGTCAGGGGGAAATATGGTAATTGACATTTGCAGGTGGCAGAGGAGGGAGCCTCTGGGGGCTGGGAGTTTTTGTACAAACTGTGGCAGGGACATAAGTGATGCATGGCATTACAAATGTTAGTTGAATAACACCTCCAGCCTGAGCCGCTAATGACGCTGTTTTAGGATAATAAAGGACAGGTC